TCTGCAATTCGGGAGACCCAGGCGCAGTCCCTGGGTTGGGAAGATCCCCTGGAGAAAGGCAAGGCAACCCACTCTGGTTTCCTTGCCTGGGGAATTCCAGGGACAGAGGAACCTGATGGGCTACAGTCCACGAGGTTGCAAAGAGTCAGACATGACTGAGCAACTAACACACACACACACACACACACACACACACCCTGGTTGCAGCCCATGGCCCCTCTTGACCCCCACCCTCCACACATTTGGAGTCTTCGGCTCCTTCCTCCCTGCTCCCGTTGCAGCCATGATTCACCGCCACCCCCATCCGCCCTTTGTAGCTGCCCAGGACTTTCTCTTATCTTTCAGTCCCACCCTCCCTGTCCCGTCAGCACCAAACCACACCGCTTGAACATGACTCATCCCCCTCCCCCAGCTTCTGGACACTCAGACTGGGGTGAGAGAGACTCAGAGGGGAAGGAGAACTTGGATGGGGAGAGCAACCTGGGGGAAGGGGACCGAGACGGCGGCCAGAGCAAAAGCCGGGCTGGACAGTCAGGATGGTGACATGCCCAGTGAGCCTGTACATCTGGGTATGATTACACGCATAGGCTTTGGGTTATGAAGAAGAGCACTGCCTACTGAGAGGTATGTTGAATCAGCAGTCTTGTGCTGAGGGCACAGAGAAGGAGGCCTCGGGTCTACATGCTGTTTAAACACATTAGGGTTATTGTGGATAGAACGACAGGTTTCAACTAAATGACTGAGTTGGGGCTTGACCTTCATTTCACAGCCTAACCTCGTGCCTCCTCCAAGTCCCTCTGTCCCTGGAGCAACTCTGCCAGGGCTTCCCAAATGCTGCTGCTCATTGGAATCACCAGGGGCTCTTTAAAAACCCTGCTGTCTGGTACCCACCCTCAGACATTTGGACTTAATTGGTCTGGAGTGCAGCCAAGGCCTTGGGTTTTCTAAAGCTCCCCAGGCGATTCAAATGTGCACCAAAGTTTGGGAGCCACGGAGCTGCAGCATGGTTTCTGAAAGCTGCGCCCTGACCTGATGGTCAGCAGCCTGTGGGCAGGGCTTACAGTCACGCATGATGGCGATTTGGTAGCTTTGGGGGCCTTGTGGAGTGTGTGATCCTTGTCCGGGGTCCGTGTCCTACAGTGGGTTGATCACTGTGACAGCTTTACTGGCTTCAGGTCCAGCATGGCAGTGTGGGGAGGACCAGGCGGTGCTGGAGCCCTGTCTCCTGGCGGAGGCAGAGGGTGGGAGGGGCGTGGAGAGGGGGCTGGGACAGGGGTGCGACCGGCTGGAGGAGAGCTATATTGCATCCAGCACAAGGGGCCTCGCTGCTGTCCTGGGTAGCAGGACATGACAGGGTGACTGCTCCCTGCAGAGGGGCTGGCCAGCAATTCTGGAGTGTGACAGTTAACTTCCCATGTGCATTTCATTGGGCTGAGAGACGCCTACAGAGCTGATAAAACATCTTTTCTGGGTGTGTCCGGTGAGGGTGTCTTGGGAAGATATTAGCATTTGAAACAGGAGCCTGAGTAGAAGGTGGCCCTCGCCGCCAGAGTGGGTGGGCATCATCCAATCCATTCAGGGCGTGACAAGAACAAAAAGGGTGGAGAACGGCAAATTTGCTCTCTCTGCTTGAGCCGGACATCCATCTTCTCCCGCCCTTAGACGTCAAAGCTCCTGGTTCTCCGGCCTCTGCACTCACGCTGGAACGACATAGGCCTTCCCGGACCTCCAGCTGACAGACCACAGACTTCTCCGCCTCCATAATCATGTGAGCCAACAACCCCTTAAATAAAGTCTCTTCCACAGCTCTGTGGTGGTGGTTTAGTCACTAAGTCGTATCTGACTCTTTTGCGACCCCAGTGGACTGTAGCCCACCAGGCTCCTCTGTCCAAGGGATTTCCCAGGCAAGAATAAATTGGAGTGGGTTGCCATTTCCTTCTCCCAGGGTGATCTTCCCCACCCAGGGATCCAACCCGTGTCTCCTGCTCGACAGGCGGATTCTTTACCACTGAGCCACGTGGGTGTATTTCCCTCCTATTATTTCTGTTCTTCGGGCCTGGGTATATTTCTCTTCTATTATTTCTGTTCTGCGGGGGACCTCTAACACATGGAGCTTCAGAGAGAAGGTTCTGATGAGGGACTAAGGCTCTTCCAGGCTCAGTGCTGTCTTTCCGTGTGCCTTTGGGTCTGTTGTTCAACACCGTTGCACCTGAGCTTAGCACAGAGGGTCCCTGCTGAGATGTGATGTGAGCCAGTGATAATTATGAAAGTCAGTGGCTTCTATTTCTGGAGCACTGGGTACGGCAGATGATACACAATGAGTATTTCATATACGTGGATCAGTTTAGTTCTCACAATGACCATGGGAACAGTACTGTTATCATCCCCATTTTACAGATGAAAAAATGAAGACTTGGAGAGATCAAGTAGCTTGCCCAGGGTTAAATTACGTCTGTCTCCTTTCAGTTTGGACTGTTTCCCAAAGGTGACAAAATGGCCAGTGTTACTATCCCCAAATGAACTAGGGACTGTTCCCAAACCACCCCCAAACGGATTTGGTACATGGAATAAAAGAAATACCAGGTCCAGGACTTTCTCCTACAAGAAAAGTCATTACTTCTAGATAGAAGCTTTTCTTGGAAATCTGCCAGAGACCTTGAGGACTGGGCAAGCAACAAGAGAGGTGACCCACCCCAGAAAGATCCCTTATAAAAGCTGCTCTGGCCAATGCAGATCATGGACTAGGGTGGGGATAAAGGCTATTCCACTCCACTCCCAGCCTTCCCCAACTCCACCCCACCCCGGGCCAGCTGAGAAATCCAGAGTAGGAAGGGGCCTTGGAAAGCTGGTTCTCTTCGGTGATTTCCATTCCCAATTCCCTCCCTCGCTGATGAAACTGGAGATGCCAGAGGGCGGGTGTGAAACGCCAGCTTCTGGGTCAGAGGTTACCCTGAAAAGCAGTCTTTGGAAACCTGGGTGGAGCTTTGAACTGCTGCGGGGATTAAAATGAGGCTCTTACAATCAGCTCCAAATGGATTCTCTAACTGGGCAGTTGGCCCCTCACTCTACCGTCAGCCCCAATCCCCAGGCCTGCACCCCACTGCCACTGGCCTCTCCCCTAGCCTTGCCCTCAGGATAGAGCAATAAAACCTTCCAAGCTGCAGCTAGAGGCTATAAAAGCTGAGCCCTACTCGCTGGCTCTCTGACCGGTGTCCTACCCACAGTCTTGGCTGCTGGAGTCGTCCCAGGGATGGGGAAGTCTCTCGAGGGTTCCAGCACGGCCACAGAACAATGGGCAGTGGGGCAGGAAGGTGGGAGACTCCTGGGCTGGCCTGAGGCTCACTCTCAAGGACAAAGGGCTTCAGTGGAAGGTTGGAGGGGACGCTTAGACTCCTGCTTCCCCTATTTGGGTTTTCCAGGAAAAGAACAGACTTGACAAAATTCCCCCGGAGTTTAAGTGGGGAGGCAGGAGGTGTTCCGGCCCTGTCAGCTTTCCTCTCTCCACACACACACTCACCTGCCCCTGCCTGAACTGAGAACCTAGCTTAGGCCTGCTGAGTAAGAAAGGGATCACACATTCCTCCCAAATGCAACACTCAAGCACCCCTACCCCCACCCCACCACCCTCAACAGGTCTCCCTGCATCCCTGGTCAGTCACAGCCCAATAGTCTAGGGACAGATCAGCCGTCAAGCCCCACCTCCACCGTCCATGGGATCACTGGCCCCCAACCTGGCATACCATCTATGGCAATGTGGCTGGGTCCCTAGGTGACTCTGCAAACTCTGCCCTGACTCCTCTCAAGCTCTGGTCTCCAAGAGGAAGGAGAGACAGGCGGCTCAGATAGCTGCCCCAGAGCCCTGGGCTTTCCCCACTGCTGACTGTCTCATCGGCCTCCCCTCTCCCCTTCCCCAGACCCTCTTTCTACAGGAGAGGGAGGTGGGGAGCACGCTTCAGTTGATCAGGAGACTCCCTTGAGTACCACACCTCACCCATCTTCTTTCCCGCCAGGGTTCCCGCCCCTGGGTCACCGTTACTCGCTGCCCTTCCAGGCCCGCTTCCTTATAACCCGGGGTACCTCTATTCTCTACTCCACCTCGCAATCCAGGGGGCCAGGCCCACCTACTTGCTCCCTTTACCATACACACACCCACACACACCCACACACCCACACACACACACACACACACACACACACCCAAGGGGAGGCTGGTCTTTACCCTCTTCCCCAGAATCTGAGCCAAAACTGAGGGTTGGTCAGCCCTTCTGCCAAGCAGGATAAGAGGTGGCACCTCTCCCAGGGCTTGGGGACCTCACCCGGGCCCTCTCCCCAGGTCCTCCACTGCAAGTTCCCCAGACTTTCATTCCAAAGAGAAGAGGTGGCTTCTCCTTGGCCTGGGGGGCACATGGGACACGTAGGTCCGCCCAGGAACCCCCTTCCCCAGCCCAGGGAAGTGAAACAAGGAGAGGTGGTACATGGACTCCACGATGTCAGGGCTGGGAGAGCTGGCGTCACCCTCTTGTTCCGTACAGAGGCGTGAAAGGAGGCCTGGAGAAGGAAAGGGACTTGTCCTAGGTCACAGAGAGAACCCAGGACCTCTGGTGCCTGGCCCAGGACTTTTTCCTGGTACAGTCTGAGGGATTTACTGCAGAAAGGGAGACGGGGTTAGTAACACTGACTCTAGTAGGGTCAGCACCTGCAGGGCGCTGGAAGACGGGGAAGAGGAAGTCCTGAGCTAGCTGGTCAGGGGACTGGGCGCCCAGAGTGAAAAGGTGAAAGGCTTCAAGGGAGAGTCTGAAGGGCAGCTCCTGGGGGAGCAGTTTCTGGGGGAGAATGATGGGCGCTGGGGAGCAGGGCAAAGAGGTGTGGAGAAGAGCCCGCGTGACCTTGGCTAAGTCGCGTCCCTGTCCCTCTCCGGGCCAGCAGACGGGACCCCCTCAGGCACGCAGATTCCGCCGCCCCCCCACCGCCCCGCCGCCAGGCAAGCGACGGTGCCTCACCTTCTTAAAGTCGGCGGTGAAGGAGACGAGAGTGCCGTCGGGCTTGCGCAGCTCCAGGCTGATGCTGTCGGCGTCGCTGTCCGCCTGCAGGCTCTCCTCGGTCACCTGGCCGTCTGGCAGCCGCACCCGCACCCGCAGCTCCGACGGCGCGCCAGCCCCAGTCCCCGCGCCCACGCCGCGCGGCGCCCCCAGCAGCGGCACGAGCAGCGGCAAGAGCAGCAGCGCGGGTGACGCCCGGGGGACCCCGCGGCGGCCGGGCGGGCGCATCCCCGGGAACCGCCGCTGCCCTCGCGGTCCCGGCGCGCCGCGAGCGGGCGGGGAGCTGCGGGGCCAAACTTCGCCCGAACTTGAAGGCTAGTTCACGGCGCGGGGGCGCGGGGGCGCAGCTCCCCCTGGGGCTGGGGGCTCAGCCGCGGGGCGCCAGAGACGTGGCGCCGAGGCACGTGGGCAGCGCTCCGCCGCGCGCCCCCCGGCGGCTCCGAGGCGGACGCCGGGCTCCCGGGGCCCGTCCGCCTCCCAGTCCCAGCGCGGCGCCTCCCGCGGCCCCCGACTCCGGAGCTCCGAGACTCTGTTTTGCACTTTTCATTCAATCCCACCCCCCGTCACTTCCTTCAGAAAACAGAAACCACCAGGACCTGCCTTAAAGAGACCGCGCACCTCTCGGCCCTTAAAGGGCCCGCGGCGGCTCTCCCGGCGCTCGGCTGCAGCCGGGGCCGGGGGCGGGGCGGCCGGGGCGGACCGGCGCGCGGCGGCCTGGTGGGAACTGGGTTTCTCAACCGCGCTCCCTCCCCGTCGCGCCCCGGCAGCGACCGGGCTGGCCCGGGAGTAGACTCTCCTGGCAGATCCCTTCCTCCCAGCTGGGGCGGGACGGCTGACTCTTCCCCCGCACCGCCCCCCCTCCCCCCGTCCTTCTTTTTTGGCTCTTCTTTTGCCACGTGGATGAAAGAATCGGGCTTGGTGTTTTAGGGGTTTTGTTTGGTCTTTTCAGTTTCTCTGACGCGGCGAATTTCTACACTGCTTCTGCAAAATCGGACCTCACCTCGCGTTCAGACTTTTGACTGCCATAGATCAGGAGAGAGGGGCTGAGGTTCTGCTGGCGTTGACGTCCGTCAGGTCAGGTGTGAAATCTTGATCAGTCAGGCCGCCTCTCTGGACATGGCCCTTGCAGGGCCCGCATTCTCTGAGCCCCTGCGCAGGTTCTTTTCGGTCTGGTCGCCCTTACTTTCCCCATTCACGACTTCTCCCCAGTCCTGCCCACCTCCCCAGACCCCTGTTCTCTCTCCCACCAATAGGCTGAGCAAATTCAGGATAACAGTAGATTGCAGACCATTCTGGAGGATGTCCAGGGACTCGAGATGCGCTTGACCGTCGGAGACTCTCCCACAAGCGCACAGAAATGCGGTCCCTTGCCATGCACTCCAACAGTGAACTGGGTGAAGGCAGGAGGGATGTGGATTCCTGCTTTCTCTGGTTAGCTGTGTGCTTTGGAAGCATTTAAAAAGTTCTTTGGGCCTAAGTGTCCCTGGGGTATAGTGGGTGTTGCTGAGACCTACAAAGTCCTGCCAGTTCCAGAAGAGAAAACGCCAGGGGGATGTTCAGGACCTGTTGTTCCTTGATGTTCATTTCACTTCTCTTTATTCTGGGTTCCCCTAATCTTTCCCAGATCTTGATTACAGATGTTGAATACCCTTCTCTTCAGCCTTCTTCCCATCTAGGTTTTCCCCAGCACAGGTTAGTAATGATGACAGCAGGTACCCAAGCACCCACGGACCATGAGGGTGCCTTGAACTTAGATGCCTTGAACTGCAGGGGGTGCCCAGAACCACTTCCTTACTACTAGCCCAGAGCTCTTCTTACTACTGAAGTCATGAAATTAAAAGATGCTTGCTCCCTGGAAGAAAAGCTGTAACCAACTTAGACAGCATATTAGAAAGTAGAGGCATTACTTTGCTGACAAAGGTCCATCTAGTCAAAGTTATGTTTTTTCCAGTACTCATGTATCAATGGGAGAGTTGGGCCATAAAGAAAGCTGAGCGCTGAAGAATTCATGCTTTTGAACTCTGATGCTGGAGAAGACTCTTGAGAGTCCCTTGGACTGCGAGAAGATCCAACCAGTCCATCCTAAAGGAAATCAGTCCTGAATATTCATTGGAAGGACTGATGCTGAAGCTGAAAACTCCTAGTTACTTTGGCCACCTGATATGAAGAACTGACTCATTGAAAAGACCCTGATGCTGGGAAAGATTGAAGGCAGGAGGAGAAGGGGATGACAGAGTTTGAGTTGGTTGGATGACGTCATCGACTCTATGGACATGAGTTTGAGCAAGCTCTGAGAGTTGGTGATGGACAGGGAAACCTGGCATGCTGCAGTTCATGGGGTTGCAAAGAGTTGGACACGACTGAGAGTCTGAACTGGACTTCTTACAACGCTTTGCTGCCTAAATTTAAGACTGAAAGGGATTCAAAAGATTATTTAACTGGATGTTTTTCAAATTTGTTTTATCAAAAGAATCACCTAGGTGCCTATTAAAAACACAGATACCTGGATCCCTAAATCTAGTCAACCTGACTTCTTAGGAAAAAGAACTGAAAATCTGCATTTTTAACAAATGCCCAGTGATGCTTGATCTCAGGGGTTGATAGCTGATAACCTGACAGAGGGTTAAGCTTAGCAGATCTAAAACAAACAGCATCTTTCCTGGGGAAACATCCTGGTCCCTAAGGAGTTTATCTTCCCATTAGGGAGACAAGGCGGGCTGTCAAGAGAACAGTGGATTAGCACAGAATGCCCCCCGAGGGCCTCCCACCCTGAGCTGGCAGGGCTGGAGGGATGCCCAGGGTCTCAAAACTGGCCTCCTGCCTGACAGGACACTCATCTCAATCCAGCCTTAGAATTAGGTCTTTCCACATGAGTCATTAGGGCCTCACCCACATTTCCTAACTTCCTGTTTCAGGTCCTGTCCCCCATCCATCATCAGGCTCTGCCCCCAGCCATATTCCCAGGCCCCTTCCTCTTCACCCCAGTGAGATCCTGGAAGAAGTAAGCAAAGAAGCCCTGTGTGTCTGGTTTCTTTTCTAGGCTTTTAAGACTGTCCTTTGCTGTTTTTGTTCAGTCACTAAGTTGTGTCCAACTCTTTGGCGACCCCATGAACTGCAGCACGCCAGGTTCCTCTGTCCTTCACTGTCTCCCGGAGTTTGCTCAAACTCATGTCCATTGAGTCGGTGATGCTACCTAACCATCTCATCCTTTGCCACCCCCTTCTCCTTTTGCCCTCAGTCTTTCCCAGTATCAGAGTCTTCTCCAATGAGACTCTTTGAGTCTTCTCCAATGAGACTCTTTGCCCTCAGTCTTTCCCAGTATCAGAGTCTTCTCCAATGAGGCTCTTTGAATCAGGTGGCCAAAGTATTGGAGCTTCAGCTTCAGAGTTAGTCCTTCCAATGAATATTTAGGGTTGACTTCCTTTAAGATTGACTGGTTTGATCTCCTTGCTGTCCAAGGGGCTCTCGAGAGTCTTTTCCAGCACCACTATTCAAAAGAACCTATTGTCACTATTCGAATTATGGGTTTCGAAGCAATGATAGAAACTTCATCTCTTTCTGCCACCTCTTGTGCATAATCAGTGTCCTCCTGGAGTTCAACCACAGATCAACTAGATTTTTCTTTTAAGATAGCGAATTTGAAGTCTCACTCCACTTTGAAAGCCCTACTTCTGTCCTTCGCCTTTCTTTTGATTTTACCTGACCAACTCTTCAAGACTAGGACAAAAAGCTCAAGTTTGCCAGGAAGTTTCCCAGGCTACTGACCTATAGCTCTGCTCTATTCTCTCCCTACTCTGAACTCCAACAATAACAATTATTATAGCAACTACCATTCACTGTGTTCTTATTATGTCCAAGTTCTGTGCCAAGCACTTTACATGTATCATCTTATTTAATATTCATGGCAACACTCCAAAGTGTGTTCTATTCTTAGCCTCTTTTAACTGACTAGGAAACTGAGGCGTCCAGAGGTTAAGTAACATGCCCAGGGTCACACAAGTAGGAGAACCAGAAGGGGCTCCAACGTGAGGCTGCCTGACCACAAAGTCCTTGCTTTTAACCACAATAGCATCTGCCTGCCTATAGCCCTTGTTTTTTTCCAGCCGCATTCGGGCACACATCCTGTGCTATCTTCTCCTCTTATCTAACGGTTCTGTGTGTGGCAACCTTGTACCCCAGTGAAGTTGTCAGTTCAAACAGGCCAGTCCCATGCTGGGAACAGAAACCAGCCTTAAACCAGCTGGGTACAGAAGCCTCCATTCATCTAAATGTGAAGGCCCTTGGAGGAAGAGCTCTAATGAGCCCGACAGCCCTCTAACTGTAACCAACAGCCCTCATTGTCAGAATGTTCTTTGTGTCTAATCTTGAGTCCTCTGCCACACTAGAAACCAGTTTCCTTCATGATCTCTAGCCCTAGGAGAGCAGTTATAAGTTGTGGTTCAAAGCAAGATACCAGCATCTCAGCCCTCGAGCTGAACCACTCGGGAGTACTGTGACTCAGTGAGCCTGCTTCTGCATTTATAAAATGCATGCCTAAGTGCTTCCATCACTGGGTCGTTTTCAAAATTAAATGGAACATTATGTACAAAACACTTCACATCATGTTTGGCAGGTAGTAGAGGCCCGAGATGGCTTCCCTGGTGGCTCAGATGGTAAGGAATCCACCTGCAACTCGGGAGACCTGGGTTCGATTCCAGGGTTGGGAAGATTCCCTGGAGAAGATAATGGCTATCCACTCCAGTATTCTTGCCTGGAGAATTCCACAGACAGAGGAGCCAGGCGGGCTACAGTCCGTGGGGTGGCAAAGAGCCTGATGCACCAGAGTGACCAGCACTCACTTTCAGAGGCCCAAGTAATGGTGGCTGTTATCACTAGGTTGGCCATTAGGTTTTCCATAAGATTTTACAGAAAACCCAACCGACTTTTCAGCCAACCCAATATTTTAAACTGTTTATTCACTCCTCTTTTCTAAACTATTAAGTCTCTGTTTGACCTACACAGGCTTCCCCTCCCCTGACTCACCCTCTACACACACACACAGCTCCTTCTGCAACACCTTTTCTATTAATTCTCTTTAGGTCTTCCAGTTTTAGCTACGAAGACCACTGAAACTAGGAAGTGGGCAGCCCAACCGGGCAGGCACCTCCCCTTTGCTGTTTGGTCTGTGTGCCTCGTTTGGCAGGAAGAGACATGCCACGCCGTCTCCCAGCCTGTGACCAACGAAACAG